TTTTTCTACGGAAAGTCCAATGGATTTGCTTTTTAATACTTACAATCAACAGAATATTTCTAATATAAATTCTCAAAAAGACACCAGAGAGAAAATTTAAAAAATCAATCAGACGGTAATAGACACCGGCAAGCTTTGTCAATTTCACCAACTTGTTTATTTCAAACAGCGTTGCGCGCAAAGGTTTGTGGGTAATATGAGGGTCCAACTTGCCCCGAGTCAAGGGGGCCAACTAGCCCCGGGTGCACATTATTTATTTTAAAGGATGGTAGCCATTTATGGTGCTAGAATGAGCAACAGTGATACATCTCTGTGAAACTTGAAACAATGAGCTTCAGTTTGATGCCCTATACATATCTTATATTCGATCAAAAGCCTATGATAATAGATTTTTAAATCTCTTAAACAAAATTACTTTTAGGTGCAAAAATCGTTTATTTCGACTCACCGCTTAAAGGGATAATAACTCTTCGTATGAGATCTATATTTCACGATAAAAATATTGTGAATAACTCATAGAAATATAATATATTCTATTTTACCACAAAAATGGCAGTTATAGCTATTTTTTCTGATATCTGAATTTGTCTTCAGACCACGTGACCTCCATTGATGGCTATACTCTGTTAAAATCTCTTAAGAGATTTTAACCAAAAAACAAACTTTTTAGAAAAAAACCAGGGACTAACTTTGAATGTAAAAATGGATTCATTAACCATTGGTTAGTATAGGAAAATTGTTGTTTACTCCAGGAAAATTCATTTTTTGGCCGAAATGAAGAGTTATTATCACTTTAAGTAAAACTTTTTAACGTCCGACACTTCCTTAGCATTGTAGGCTACGGTCAGTTTGCAAGAGTATGTGGCCAATTTTTTTACCTCGTAGTTACTTTTTCATAAATTGACGGGGGGCCAACTTACCCCGGGGTCCAACTAGCCCCGGTCTCCCCTATGCCTTGTGCCTATCAAATTATAGTCAGAGACACATTGGATGACATCCGCTTAAATGTGTAACATGAAAGTTTCATACGGAAGTGCTTCTATTTACGGTCTCTGATATGTAGAACCATTTGTGCAGAAAATTATTAATCATCAGGAGCTAATCAGACACATGAGATTTCTCCTTTGCTCGAAATCGCCTTTGCTATTTTTTCTCTCTTTGTGTATGTGTATGGGGGGGGGGGGGTTGAAGTTAAGAGGTGTGTGCCCGTGCCCGTTGTGTCTTAGATCCACTATTGCCTTGGTTTAAAGGAGGGATGTTTGAATATATAGATTAAATGAATTAATCAAGATAAAAACCTAATGAATCCGTACCCTCTTCCGGGCCCGCGTATTATATATAAGTGGACTTTTTCTCAGACACGACCCTGCGATGGAAGTAAGGGCTCTACAGGAGCTCGTTGGCAGCTTAGCTTGGCTTAGCTTCGTGCCCATATGATTAACACTCATTACGCAACTTGTCTTGGCTTGTCTGTCTGCTGACACAATTAATTATAAGTTGTCTGGTTTTAAGGAATACCTTGAAGTAACAAGCTATTCATAAGGGGCTATTTTGGTTGTCACAGATGCTGTCAGGGATACTTGGCAGAGACTTATTAAGTGTCAGTGCTCGAGTAATTATGCAAACAATTACCAGTCATGTAATCATATGCATCCTTGAGATTTCACTGGGTCATATAGGCCTATAGAATAGAAGAGCCTGCAAAATGTTATTTGTATACATTTTAGTACTCAGTAAAGAATTATTATTAAAAAAGGAGAAGGTGGTGCGATAACGGTTCAGTTTTGCATTTGCACAAACACATTCTTTTGAAACCTGTAATGCATGTGCCGTTGAGATTAGAAATGTTTCACGCACGGTGAAGAAGGGTTACTGCAAATTGCATTTGGTGAGACACATTTGGTGTGATAAGTAGAATGATGTACCTAATTTTAGTTTCGAATACATAGTGAGTTTCTCCATAAAACATCCATTTTCTGTAAATTATACGTCACACTATTTTATGATAGCATTTAATTATTCATAGAAAAAAGAAACTTAATTTAATAGAAACCGGACTATGTTGAAATAGTAAACTAAACACTGTCTCCGAAACAAAATGGCCGCCCTCATGCTGTCTCGACACTGTAAGTTCAAGCTGCTTTCAACATGTTATACTTGCGTATAATTCAGCAGTCAAGGTTCATAGCTTCGTTTTTGTCTTTTGCTTTTGTAATACTACCAGACTATACGTTTAGCTACCTTTTGAAGGCTCACTAGACTCGTGGGTGTTTGGCACAGTGGTAGATGCAAATGAAACGTGATTTTGATTTGATAATTTATAGTACATCGATAGCGAAGGTAATCTTAGGTGTATTTATGATACTCTACAACCCGGGGGTGACACATTTCTCTGATCAGTATTTTTTAGCAGTGCTAGTACAAGTTGGAAGTTAAATCACTGGTTCAGTCACCGAATGCCATATATAAGAGATGGGGAGCAAACTGTGATCATGGGGAATTATAATTATTTATTTATTGCAATATGATTTTCTTATAAAATTATTGTATTGGAACACTATTTTGTTTATCAAAGCATATCGCTGAAGACCTTCACTTGCAGATTATATGCTTTGATGTTCTGCTTGAGAGTATTTAACTGTTACAAGTGGTTTGTCATGCAAGCACTCTTTGGCATATAATCAAAATTATATTTTATAAAAACTGATGACCTGTACATTTTATATACATGATTCAAAACAGTACAGACATATTTGATTGTAACAGATGCATCTATATTGAACATCAACTAGCAGACAAGGGGAAACTACTGGTCTGACCAGTCACAACCACCTAAAAAGCCAGAGGGGCTGGCAAGATTCCCTCTGGACCAGCAAGGTTTATGTAAAAATTCAATACATAAAAATATATCATATGTAAACGCCAACTAAAGGAAACTAACAAACAGAATTAGGAGGACCCGTAGATTTCTTGCAGGTCCTCTGGAGCTTCTGTACCTCCAAAGTTTTCCCCAGTCTGCAGCTAGTAGATGTGAGATTGGCTGAATTCAGTTATAATTATATTGACCAACTTAGTGAGAATTTAAGGGACTGTTCCCATAAACCCATCATACTAGATGGATTGATTTAACTCTGGGGAGTTTCTCACCAAATTGCATTCAGTGTAAGGAGCTTAAATGTCTGGCTCTCCTACTCAAGCTGCTACAGGGTAATTAACAATAGTCGGGCAATCAAACTGATAACACTGAAAGCACTTAAGCAAGGGCTGCTGTGTTAAAATGATCCAGCTAGTGTGATGGGTTTATGGGAATGCAGTCATAATTAAAAAAAAAAAAAAAAAAAAAAAAAAAAAACACTGAGTTACTAGTGCACTTAGCTTCAGCAAATTATCAACTGGAAGTGAGTTTTATTTTATGTAAACGGTTGTAATATTTTTAGGGAAGGATAGAGAAAGGGTGTTTTTTTATTCATATCTTCCTTCTTTAGCACCATGGCGTGTTTCCTATGTAGCGACCAGGTGTCTCTCCTCTGCCCCACTTCCTGCTCAAAAGCTGGATGGATCTACTGATACTGGAGGTAATTTTATGACCTTAACACCTTTCTCTCAGTGACAGATAATGAGATTTGTTTCTAGAGATCTCTGAATTATAATTTAATTATAATTTATTTTCAAACATAATGTTCTTTTTTCATTTTGTTAGTGATTATTATCAACCTATGAAATGGCACAAACAGTTACCTAATATGCAATACATCAAGAAGGCAACCTTTGATTATCTTTCATTTGATGAAACGGCTACAAATATGAAAAACAGATTTAATTACAGATATTGGTTTCAAATCCAAAATAAGTAGTGTTAAGTGGTGATAACATATGATTTACAGCTGTGAGAAATGCAGGGGCAAGTCCATACATCTAAGCCGATGCCCTTCTTGCTAGGCATCCTTTCTAAAACAATTAAAAAATCAAACAAACCTGCAGATCAGTTAGTCCTTGGATCAAGTTGGTTGTGAACACGCCATCATATTCATTACAGCACTAGAGCTGACAATCATTAGGGCTATTCACTTGGATTTTACCCTTAACTTCAATTGCTTACCAACTATCTTTATTCTAGATATAAAACGGCCATCACAAAGCCTCCTGGTTGATCCACTGAAGCATCCAGACTACTTCTGTATGAACGAGTTGCTCTCCATAGAGGACATGTTCAAGGCAAGAGTGCATCTGGGCCACAAGAAGAAAGTCCGAAACCGCTTCATGACAAACTACATCTATGGCACGAGGTTGGGAATGGACGTCATTGATCTGAATGCTACCAAACCATTGCTGCGACGTGCTTTAAATTTTACTGCACATGTCGCGTACCGGGGTGGCATTATCATGTTCATGACGCGCAGGGCCGAGTTCATTGCTTCTGTGGAAAAGGCAGCCCTTGATGTGAAAGAGTATGCCCACTGTCGATACTGGAGAGGTGGAACTTTAACAAACAGGACTCGTTTCGACTACAGGCTGCCAGACCTTGTTATATTTTTACAAACACAGAACTTTGCAGCTTCTCCACACAGGGCCATCATTGAGTGCTCCAAGTTTATGATACCCACCTCAGGGGTAGTGGATACGAATTGTGACCCAAGGTTAATCAGTTTTCCTGTCCCAGCCAATGATGACACGCCCTCCTCAGTGCATTATTTGCTATCATTGTATAAGATTGCAATCTGGCGTGGTAAGCAGGCCAGAAAACTGGCACTGGACCAAATGGAAGAGAGAGAGAAAACCAAAAAGGTGGAGGAGGTTCAGACTTCAGAGAAATTAGAGAAAACTGCAACAAAGTCTGTAGGTGGTTCTGGTAATGTCCCTGACAAACCTCAGAAGAAGAAGCCTACATTTATCCAAAAAAAGGGATCTAAATAATAGTATCTAGTTGTAGCCAACTTTCAGTCCACAGAATATGTGGTGTTTTCATTGATTATTTTTTATATACTTTCCATAACAGTTTTACATTTAAAGATATTTCAAGATTAAAATCTTCAAGGACGTTTTATCCTTTGTGAACGTCAAGGTATTTCCTTGTGGCTGTTGAATAAGATATAATGGTAAAATTCTAAAAATAAAATAAAATAAGTAGCTTTAATAGAATTCTTTGGTGTGAGCAGGTGGGAGGAGCACAAAAACACAGAAATGGTCAAAATACACAACTTTTGCAAACTGACAATGGCAGAAAATACTGCTGTTTGCTACATATATTGAAGTGTAATTAAATGTTATGTCCAGCAATGTGGTGATCATGGATGGCATTATTGTTCGTTTCTATTTATACATTTAATTTTTCTGAAGCTTGCCCGTGTTATTTCTTGCTAGGTATTTTCAATGAAGTTTTTTGCATAGCATTGAAAAAATACTTTGCATAGCACTGTAAAAAAAAATCTGGAGGAAGCGCGTTTTCATCCCAAAGAGCGCCGTTAATCGTGTTCAGATCACGGAGTTGTGCAATATAGAAAAGGAATGTGTAAAGAAAAAAAAAACTTTTCACATCAAACATTGATCTTGAGACCATAGAAATGCAAGAGAAAACGTCACGGCGAAGAACTGCAGTGGTTTAAAAAGGAAGGAGTGGACGACTGGACTGAAAGCATATTGTGAACGTAATCGCGGTCAAGAGTAACAGTGCGTTTGCCATCCTTTGATTTTTTTGAAGTGTCAACCAAGGCCTCTACCCCGCCCTACCTATACATTTAAATTTCAATCTTAGGTACGAATAATGAAAAAGCTGCATTTTAATCTCTTAATCTCATGGTGACTCTCTGTTTTTTTTTTTTTTTTTTTAAATTAACTAAATGGACCCATATTAATAACGCAAATTCGGCCTTAATAATATTGGCGATCACTTAAAGGATCAGACAACTTTACGTACACTTTCCTATCCGGGATTTGCCCTCCGTCTATCTTGATATAAAAATCATATTTTCTACTCCTAAATCATTGTTCGACCTGCCCCATGGACTCGACGCTTTATGTCGTATTTGTAATAAGTTAGCTCTTAAAAGTTTCCCATAACCTTCAGACCCTCCGGTATATTTGAGAAATATGGACATAAGGTACTCCTGTTTGCAGGGTGTTTACGTTTTTAAGGTCTGCATTGGAAAGATAAATTACAGCTTTGCCTGGCATGTAGGCTTGGAAAGTATGACTTTGGGACATTTTATACGTAGAAAGATACCTTTTGAAAAACTAACTCCCTAAGTAAACGTTGTGTAAAGAATTTACCCCAAAACGTTGAGATGATTTGTGAAGTAAGCATTGGTGATGGAATAAAAAAAAAAAAAAAAAAAAAAACATCAAAATCAAGTACGCTTAACCTGAGTAAATCACATTAATTCTCTGAATGCCAGAATTCTAGCTCGGATCGTAATAACGAAAGAGGCAAATGTCTTTGTTGCCACAATCCTCAATCACGCCAATCTTCTTGCCAAAGATTCGTCTAAATTTTGACAAAGACCAATGTGGTCAGCTAAATTTAGCCTATCAAATTCTGGTATTTTAATCCCTTAACTTCCCTAAAATATTAATTATTATTCCATTGTCGTTTTGATACTTACATTCGTGATGCTCCATAAAACAATTTCTAGCACTTTTATGTGTATTGGCGCATACTTCTCCTTAATTCATGTCGCTCACATTTTAAAATAAGAAAAAAAAATCATCGAGCGAGCCGGAGTTGAACCAGCGACCTGAGGATATCTGAAATTTTCCACTGCAGTTCTCCGCTCTACCAACTGCGGTAAGGCGGGTGCAAGGTAGACGGGGGTTTTCTTCCAAGTTTTTTCCAAGTTTTTGGACAAAAATAGATCCAAAAACCCCTCGCTTTACAGAAGAGCAAGAAGAAGCTTATGCAAGTAAGGAGCATTTCTGAGATTTCCAACAGTAATTCAGGACCCGTGTTCTTTTTATAAATGTAAGATATTTTATAAGACTCATTCACTCATCCTCCCATCTTATTTAAGTTTTGAATTACTAGATCAATGTTTAAATTTTCAGTGTTTCTTTTATTCACTTTATTTTAATATTTCTTTAAGGAGATAACAGCGTTCTTTTCCCTATTTGCAATCAGCATCTAACCTCTGTCCCCTGTCAAGTTCGAAGTCCAAGGTTTGACTTTGTCCGAAAACCTGTCCACTGGCTTACTGATGAACACTATCAGCACTGTGAAATGACAGGTGCGACCAAGCTATCGTCTGCATCGTGATCACAATCATCATATCCCTAAGCCTACACTATTTTCGAAGTAGTGTTCATCATAGGCAGTTTTCTCTTTCTCCTTAGATAACTGCTTTATTTGTTAGTTCAAACCGCTGATCAACGATTTTGCTAAGGTGGGGAGACAAAGAAAAGTAGATAAAAGACTTAATGTAACTACAAAAAAGAATAATTATAGCCGTAATGATAAATTAAAACATAAATAATGTCTCGCTTCTGTCGGTAACTTAACATAATTACATAAATCGCTTCAGTTTAAAAATCTTACCATAATATGTAAGGTTCATCGACGGAAAAATCAGTTTTTATGCGATTTTTTTATAAGAGGTCTTTCTCTTATGGTGTGTCTTGAAACACAAGACGCGAGTTTAAGACTGATAAGGGAGCACTTTATCACGACACCCTAGTTGACGCTGCGAAACTCGCCCACTCGTTCTTATTCCAAGTTGGGATGTTACAGTCACTAATTTTGATAAAAAGCGGACAGTGGGGTCTTCTTGCACGTAGTAAACCAGTACAGCGTTAGGGCAAAATGGTGAGTCGTCTGTGTGTTGTAGCTGAATAATTCAAAAATTTCAATGATTTACTTCCTATTAAGAAGGTGTTGTACTGAATTTATTCTGCTTGTGGATATTTTTGTGATACTGCTTTTTTTCTTTTTTAAAGAAAATCATGGACCATGGTTAAAAAATGTAGAATTTGTGATTTTGGAGGAACAAAAGACAGAAGGCTTTCTTTCATGTTTATTTATTTATTGACTGATTTTATAATATAGTGTTTTTTCAAGGTAGACTTACAAGTAATGAAAAAAATTATTTAGTAAAAAAAAAAAAAAGAAATGTAACTAAAATAAAAAAAACAACAAAAACACGTAATAATTATTTTAAAAATTGAAAAAGTTACTGCCCCGAGTGAGGATCGAACTCACGACCTTCAGATTTCCCGACATTACATGATTATGAGACTGACGCGCTGCCTACTGCGCTATCGAGGCTTCTGGAAAATTGCAGCGCATCTGAGCAACCCAGTCCATTAAAGAGACAAATCCTAATTTACACCCAAGGAAATCTTAATAGACTTAAGTAATTTACATCACAGGTGCGATCTCAATATCAATTTAATGGTTTTAAGAAAAAATAAATCTGCCCATGCGTATAACTGGACAGCGCCATTCAATACCTACAGATCACATGGTTAACTGCGTGAACCAATCATATCAAGCTTTTCACCTGCACGCTCACGTACGCTCCGTTGCTCAACATAGGTATGCTGCGGCACTGTAGACCATCAGCAAACACGGGCAAAAGAAAGTGCGCTGTAATGCACTGTCCGCTGCCTATTCTAAACTACAAAGGGAATAGCTTAAAACATTAACGTTTAGTATAATAGACATTTACGTGCCGACCTGAGAGAAAAAAAAAAAACGTTTATAAACATATTCACCCCGAAAAATATCTTCAGATATTCTGAATGTTCAACTTGTCCTGAATTGGAAAAATAGCATTACTTTTGTTGAATTGGTAGATATAGACCATATGACTTTGAGACATTTTCAAACTTAGGTATTGTACCTTTAAATTAACGCCTGTAGCCTGCTTACGTATTTTCTCAGGGCCTTGGCGAATGTTATGAATAGTAGCCAGAATCCCTAGCTACCTCTGCCATAGCTATTTTTGTGAGGATTGTTGTCAAAAACCTGCACAGACGGTAAGGAATAGGGGTGGTCTTATTATTATCCCCACTCTTCAACTTTTCTGACAGAAGCCGGGGATCATGTTATCATGCGCGTCTACCCGTCCATGCGTTTGTACATGTAGTTACATGTAGGCCTACCTATATATCTCCTCGGACATAAATATGAGTGAGGAAGTTGAAACTTTCGCTGTTGATGTGCCTTTCATCGTGGATATCCTTAGGCCATGTGGAATTATATACTGAGACTGGGGGTTGGTCTGTTCCTAGAGGGTGAGTGCTTCTTTTTTCACAATTTAATTTTAGCTAAATGTATGTACCTCTGGACCATTGGAGTGAAGATTTAGAGCGAGGGGTCTGGGGCAATGCTAGGCTAAACTTACAGCACTGGTGGGCTTATTAGTACATGTATCATTATGCCTGTGCATTGGCCTAACGGAATTATATAGAGTTACTCTGTGTAGAACTGTCCCTGGGGTTGGCTGTTCTATTTTTTCCTCACAAAAACAAATTTTATATATTGATTCTGATTGGTCTGTCTGTCCGCGTCGTCGATGTCGCCGTCGCCGTCGCTGTCGCCGTCGCTGTCCAACACAACGTTCGCCCCATTACTTACAAACCGTATCTTTGTTTTACTATAAATTTACCGTACGTCTTTGTTTGGTACAGAGGCAGTTTGCTTTCGAAAATCAGCATGATTGGCTCACATTTACGGTAATTATTTTGTGTTTTTATTATTATTATTTGCAAATTTTGGTGACGTTTGCCCGATAACTGCCAAACCTTATTTTAAAAAAGAAAACCGTGCCACACAGATAATGTGAACCTAATACGGTAAATAACTTGACACAAATTTTATCAAACATATCCTCTGTTTAATCTCCCCCCCCTCACCACCCCCAGGATGAAAAAGACATGCCCCGAGTGAGGATCGAACTCACGACCTTCAGATTTCCCAGGTGTTTTCATGATTATGAGACTGACGCGCTGCCTACTGCGCTATCGAGGCTGATGAAGGCTCACCTGTCGGCACACCTGAGCCGCTGGGCAGGTAACCTTACCTGCTTCACATGCGCAGTACTACATTTATCGGAATCAGTCTTGGTTTACAGTATCAGTTACTTATAGAATCCCCTTGATTGGAAAGGTAATCGAAGTTCTATCTTAGAAACTAAAATGGTTAAGGTGACCTGTTACATTGATAAGATTGGATAAAAAAGGTTGACCTTTATGTATCGAAAACCTCGATGCTTACAAGAATACTGTTACAGAGATATAATGTTGAAAGAAAGAAATCTAGTTTATTCCAAAACGATTGGAATAAATCCTGTTTCAGTGGCACTTTTTTTCCCGTCATTGCGTCTCTAATTCTTTTTTGCTTATTTCCAACACGAAGCACTCATTTTTTCCTTAAATGATAAACCTTTTTCTTGCAACAAGACTAAGTTACAATTTGCTACTTATGCCTTGAATGTCAGTCCGCATACTGATGTGTCTGTGTGTACAGTATGTCTTTGTTTTTCATTACAAATTAAAAATAAAAACTCACAACTATTGAACTTTTTACTTCTTAAGTTGGATACTACAATTGTTCATAATGAAAAATGCGAGGCAAGATTTTTTCTAAATACGTCAAATATTATGCATTTATTACTGTATATTAACTTTCGTTTTGAGTGCTTCAAAATATTCAATGATGACAAACTGTAAACCATGTTACACGCATTAGACAGTCTTTGTTAACAGTTTACAAAGACCAACTTTGACGAAGTAGAGTATGCATTTTTGTCTATCTGTACAGAGTGTATTTTAATTTTTGTTTGTAGAAAGTGTTGACAGCACTAGTGGTCGTATTTCTCGTGAGCCACGGATTCGCTGCACCAGCGACCCCTACCGTCTGTGAGGAGAAGCTGAAAACACTGACGCAGAAAGTAGATATCGTACTGCGTCAGCTTCAGCTTCAGCAGATGTTCATAGAAGAACGTGCACGCACAGACGGAGGATCAGGAATAAAACAGGCGAGATGGAGTTCGATAGGGACAAGACCATATCATACGTCAAGTAAGTTAATCACCCCTGATATATATAACACTGATATAATATAAAATTTTATGAACTGAAAAGAGGAAGAAAAAAATGAATTTTGGAAATGAATGGGAATTCATTCTGATATTGTTTGCTGTTCTTGTTTGACTTTGGAACGTGATATGGTAGAGGAAATGTCGCAGATTAAGCATTAGATGGTAAGGTGACGTTTCTAATAAAAAGAGAAGATAAAACGGATGCTTCGCTCTGTAACGTGAATCACAATCTAACTTCACTTTTAAAAATTTAAAGCCATTGCTGAAGACAAATCGAATTTTTCAAAATAAATAAATAAATAAATAAATAAATAAATAAATAAATGTTTCAGCCCATACCTTAACTTGGTCAGCCGGAGCCGCTTATCCCCGGCCACCACAGAGGAACCTGTTTTCATTGTTCGGTATGTCCGCGGTGCTGAACGGCGTCGAGTTCCCCATCAGAACGCTCTCAGATCAGTTAAAGATGCCGAGTCGCACCAGTAAAGCATTCCACGCAAAGGAGCTGGTGCCGTTGGGCGTCGTGCCCCCACAGGTACGTATAATGAAAATTATCAATATTTTCTGTAAAAAAAAGTAGCAGTTTCGGTAGTAGTCAAATGAAGTGATTAGGCAATCGCCTGCCCAGCAACAGTCCACTCCGTGAGTGAAAAGAAAGGTTGGCTTGATTACGCCAAGTGGATCGACTACAATAATAATGCCAAACAATAGCAGCTGAACTATGTTGGTCAATAGAGCCGAAAAAAGCTTGTAATTGTTATAAGGTTATTCAGAATATGTTCATGGTGATGATTCAAATGCACTGAAAGATTGTCAAACGCAATAGGAGAAAGGGAGAGACAGTATAAGCTTATTAACCTTTCCAAAGATCTTGTTCGATAGAGGCCTTTATCTTGACATAATTTTTTCAATCTTAATAGGACAAGTTATCTGAAATCGCAGGCCCGTATGTAGCTATTTCAAAAGGGGGGGGGTTCTTTTTCTGAAAAAGTGGACATTTTTCAATAAAAACTTCATGAACCTAGATCAAATTTTACCCAGAGTGGACCTTTTCCCACCAGAAGGGGCGGTTCTTTCGAACCTCCGAACCCCCCACCCCCTGGCTACGGGCCTGAATCGTGCATATCAATCATGTTTGAAAAATATGCAAACAGTTCGATAATGATGATGATAAAAACACTTTCTTCTTTTTAAAATAAATTCCTCAGTTTATTTTTATACTTGTATCTCGATGCTGAGTACTTGTAAATAAAGCAGATTGCTCAGGCAAAATGCTGAATTTCTGCCACTGCGTTTCGATAGGTTGGTTGAACCAGGATTCATTTTGTTGGTGTAGGTACTTGCAAAAAAGACTGTACCAGAACAGATTGCAGAAATGAAAGAATGGTTCAAAGCTTGGAGGGACCAGAACTACAAAGTGCGGGATTACAGGAAGTACTTCAAACCTGTTCTTTGCTACCTTGAAGGCAAATGGTTGAAAAGTCAAGGAACCGACAAACTGCCTTATTCACAGTAAGTGTGAATCTGACAAAATCACAACCTTTAAACACATTTCTTTATTTCTAAGTTTTTAATTGTAGGTTACATACGTGTAAGAGATGGATACTATTGAATAGCTGTCCCGACGGTAAAATGGATGCTTAGAACTTGAAAACGGATTAACATATCACAATGTCCTCAACACTTTTGGGTAGGGAACACACTGGCTATAAGGGTAAATTTGTTTAATTTTTCAAAAAAAAAAAAAAATGCAAAATTCCAAGAGGATTAATTGATTTTGTGTCAAATATAAATCTAACGCATATTGTAAGTATTTTTCAAATTTAACTTCCACGATACTCATATATGACTATGACTTTATGACACACCTTGATTCATGATATCTTTCCCATAGTCCAGTTATTTTATATTCTTTCAATGCGGATTTTATTTTTCTTACTAAGATAGATTTTAAAAATAAATGGCTGTCTTTTACCTTATAACATCTGTCACTGCTAATAGTGTCGATTTGATACTTTGAAGAAAAATTATTCATTGTATGTACTTTACCGATAGGATGTTAATTGCGCAGCAGTGGACTTCCCGGTACCAGGCGTACAGTGGTGCGTTACCACAGGAAAGGTAAGGAATGTCCTGTCACACCTAACACATTAGAGGTCACATGTATGGTCATAACAAACACAATCTGTCGGCACAACAAGTCAGGAGTGACCGACGTAAGGCATAATATATATAACACACAAGTCGAACAAAGAAACATGTCCTATGCCCAGACGTAATAAAGTGTAATTTTGTTGAACAGACTCCTTTCCTAACACTGATTTCGTCATTACTTCAATACAACAGACCCTATGCATTAAAGATTTCGCAGTTACGCCACTGCTTTTGTACATAAACATCAATTTGTATTTTCTAATATCTAGGGTAACTTTCAAGCCGACATCCATCATCGACTTCGAGAACGGCAAACCTGCGTTTGCCAAGTGGGACTACAGAGTTTTGTGTCACCCGGTGAATCAAGACATCCACACCAGCACATTCCGTGTTGTTGATGACCTTGCTGAGCGAACCCCTAGGCGCTGGGATTTGAACAGATTTGCTCGTTCGACTTTAGCAAAGTAGGTATAAAGAAAAGGCCTAAGTCGATCCTTACCTTGATGTGATTTTTTGTTTTGGTGGATATTCTGATTTATTTAGCTAAGTTCATTCAATTTCACGTTAATATTTAGAAATACATGCATATGATGACATCAATCACGCACATTTCCATTTACCAACATTGTTTGGGTATTGGTTGCAGGTTTCAGCTGAACCCGATGAACCGCCCTTGGGCCAAGAATGAGGAGTTCTCGTCAAACTATGAATTCCTCGATCAGTTGATGGCTCAAATACCAGGTGCGTTACTTAATACTATACTGCTAAAATACAGGTATTTTCGGTAAATGACTACGTGAAATTATTACACACTATCAAAACGATGTGGCGTTTTAGATGAATATTTCATGTTGGTACTGAGAGTTCTGGAGTTTACAAAAATGGCAACAAATTTAGCCCGAGTGTGATTATCATAACTTGTATATAGTTTGCATTGCTGCCATTCAGGCGTTGACAACTATCCCGGACGGCTGTACGACGATTCATTTGCTGAACCAGTCCATCCGTTCACAGCTGCAACTTCCAAAGAACCGAAAGTAAGATTTTAGGTGAAAACAATTTTTTCCTGGGGTTAAAATGCAAAAGAGAAAAAAGAAAGGTTGAACAGAAGTGTAACTTAGATATGATGATTGTAATAACATACATAATTTATCTGTATTCAGCCGACATCGCTTGGACATTGCCATGCTATGCAAATCTGTTTTATTTGCTGTTGAATTAGCATTTTAATAGCACAATTACTCAATATTCCGTCTCTGAATGAGCATTTTGCCCAAGATTTAAGTGTAAAATCCTAGTACAGAACAAAAAGGTCATTGCCAAGTGTGTCTATGTAATTACTTGTGCATTTCCTGAGTTGGCACATCAATTTAAAAAAATTAATTTTTCATTAGTTTAAAAACTGTTTATATTTTCCAGCTTAATACCGCCTACTACAACCGATGGTCTAAAGTGTCGCAGACATCTACCGGGCGTATGAAGGCGCGTCACAGAGGCTTCTCGGACAATTCGGTTTTTATGGCTCAAACCTCGCATCCTCAGGTACATTCAGTAAATTCTACTGTGCTGTTATGTCGTTTATTTAATACGTACCTCATGTTGTGCATGTAATAAGACAATATTAGACAATATTAGTTTTAGTAAATTTCAAAAAAAAAAAAGAAAAAAAAAAGGTTTCTCTGTTTTGAAGGTTATTCACTGCGATCAAAATTTCATTTGTGTATTTGCCTTTATTTTAATACTCAGACGATAGCGCTGTTATTTGCGTTACATCTAGGGATATCTGTTGATCCTAACCATAAACGTTTTTTAAGCTTGCTTATAGCCAAACCGTTTACTTGGTTTCATTTTTAGGTCGCTGGAATGAAAGTCGAGGACTGCAACGTTGTTGGAGTGAATAAAGTATGTAAAAGTTATGAGCAGCGGTGGTCGTATGCCATACCGCTCTTCATAACTTACATAACCCCTCTGAGTAGCTGGAACCCATATGGACTTACCATCCACACAAAACTTGGTAAGAAACCCAGTACAATACAATCGTGCTGGTGAATATTTTGAAATCGTCATTTTGAATTTTGCTCTCAACTGAGTGCGTAAGGCACATAACATTGGATACGTTTGCATCAAAGTAACGTCATGATTGAGATTAATTTGCCTTTTTACTAAAATAAGCCAAGTTTTATATGTTTATATTATAGTTGTTCTGGAGAGGGAATTTCACTCGTGACGCTAAAAATTAGAAACCGAAAAAGTATTTATAAATTGTAATCTCCACAGTTTGATGATTCAGGGAAAACTTCAGATTTCCTAAAAATTGTCTTGCATAAAAAACCAACCCACATTGTAATTTTCAAACTAAAATTGATTTTTACAGGGTACAATGACCGCACTGTATTTACTGGAGGTCGCAATGGTGGTTTTACAACGGCTAAGGCTTACAACGGCACAAGTTACAACTTTTACTACACCATTCCCACGGAGTTCTTTGGAAGTCCTCAGGTAAACTTCACACAAATTCATCCAATAGACCAACAGACAGTACGATACCATTTTACCTGGAACATTTCTATAATTTGTCCAAATCACCAATGTATATCAATAATATCCAAAAGTTTTGGAAAAAATCTTATCTACATGCAGTCATAATAATGTTTCGAGTTTGGATGTGCACAATAATTCTTGATAAGCAAGTATAGTCTGCTCAACCTCTGGATAATATTATAAAACAAAACGTTAAACATGGCGTGCCGGACCTCGGTCACGTCGATAGTGATTTTGCGCCTGAATCTGACAACCAGGAAACAAGACACTATCGTAAATGGCGTCCATAGATGGTTTGTTATGCATTTTGATGTGAACATTTGACGCAAGCACCAGAAAATGTTTACCTATATACGCAAATATACATGTATGAATCTATTTGCATTTTGTAGAGCAATTTCAGCATTATAATGATTTAATAAGCCTATTTTGAGAAAATAATGGGTCTGCATTTTGTCTATTTCATTACAGCGCGGCGCAGCAGCCCCGAAGGGTGTCCTTGACCCGAATGGAGGCCTTCGCAAGGTCAGCACCGGTGGATTGCACTCCATTTTACCGAACATCCCCGGGGTAGGCGCTCTCCGTCAAACCTATCCCATCTTCCCCATCCATGGAGAGGGCAGCACTGCATGGAAGGAATACGAGGCTCTGGCTGACCTCGTTTTGAAGAGGAAAACGCATGCAAACATGTTTCTTGAACCACTGCAAAACATTTAAGGACGTCTTACTGATGGTCTTGTTTTGCTTATTGTTCAACATTTCAAGATACATTTATCAATAAATGTGGCATTATGCACCATTTTGTTTTTGTCCTTTTGTCACATAGTTGAAGGCGGTTACGTTCATACTGAGAATATCTGAAAAATCTTTATTATCTATCCTAAGAAAATGTAATGTTACATGTATATATGCTGGAAACAGCCTAGTTGGTCACATCAAATACATGTAACAGTATAGATGAGTATCATATGGTACTAATACCGATTTTCCGATGTTTTAGATCAATGTATTTTAATTAAGTGGACAACTGTGAATTTATCTTATACATATATATAAAATGTAAACGTGATTACCATCTCAGAAAAGAATGAATTAAAATGACTTAATATAAAACTGGTTTAACTGTTTTTTTAAAGAGAGTTTAAAAAGCATTGTTTAAAATACTGTCCATACGCGGGGCAAGTTGTGTCTTTCATAGTTGTCTTGGTTTTCGAAGGTTTTAACCAGGCAGCTTTCTTTTCAGCAGCTTTCTTTTCAGCAGAGTCCAGAATATTCTTGAACAGAAACCAGAGAACGTGCCACCATGGGATCATTCAAGGTGATGACTATAAATTCAACCCTAACTTAAGTCCGTTTCAGCGAATTCGCTTTCAACCAATGTTTGAGCACACATGCATTCCAAAGTCAAGATAAAGAAAATCAACAAATTACTTTGTGCTGCAAGTTTTATTTTATTTTAAATCTGAAATTTCGCGCAATATACAAAACATGGCACTTATATTAAATCTTAGTAATCTTGTGAATTCACAATTAAAACTGCGAGGGTTCAACAAATATATTTGCATGTGTTTTCCTCTTCAAAACGAGGTCAGCCAGAGCCTCGTATTCCTTCCATGCAGTGCTGCCCTCTCCATGAATGGGGAAGATGGGATAGGTCTGACGGAGAGTGCCTACTCCGGGAATGTTCGGCAATATTAGTCGAAATCCGCCTTTGCTAACGCTGCGGATAACTCCCTTTGGATCGAGGACGCCCTTTGGTTTTGCATCGCCGTTCTGAAAGTCAAACGATTAAATTTTCTGTATATAATAGCAGATTTTATAATTAAAACAGGATTCACATCGGGGGTGATTGACGTAGCTGAACACCACAAGCCATTTCAATGAAGCCAGTCGCATAGATAAAGTCATAACTAATTAAAAACACAAAATCACCGGTATGAAAAGACTAAGCGACAGGTGTCAGCTGTTAATTTTCAAGTCAACACTTTGAACATTCACATACTGTGGTAGAGTCTATGCCATTTTTTTAGAAACACCCCATCAAAATTGGGACTGGTAGCTTGAAAGTTGACTTGAGATTTATTTCAACTGAAAAGTTATTTGTCATCTCAATGAGCTTTAGGAAATGGCCACACGCAAAATTCCACAGGCTAAATAAAATATCTTCGTTTACCTTAGGACTCCCGAAAAATTCACTAGGTGTGCTATAGTAAACGTTTTCGCTGATCCCGTTGTAGGCTGTGGAGTTTGTAAACCCGCCTGTTCGCCCTTTGCCGTACACGATTCCTAGTGAAATATAACCTTTAAACTATACCTATATCTCACCACACTATTTGGACACTTTATTACCCTTCTCTTTAAAAATAAAATTTAATTCTTTTAAATATCAATATCAAAATAAACAATTTTTAAATCAACGGGAATAAAAATTGGCAACCATACATGTGTCTGCAAGGGAACTTACAACCATTACAATGACAGTAACCTACCATTCGTTTGCATAGTCAGTCCATATGGATTCCAATTAGCCAGTGGGTTAAGGTAGGCCACGAAGAGCGGAATGGCGTACGACCAGCGCTGTTCATAACTTTTACATACTTTTTTCCCTCCAACAAAGTTGCAGTCTTCAGCCTTCATCCCTGCCACCTATACACCAAGAATTAAATCGTTATAAAAGAGGGGGCCAGGGTAAATACTTGTCTTCCTGAAATACTGGTGACAGCTATTCCATACAAAACAAAAGCTGAATTGAAGACAACAGTGTTTAATGTAACTATCATGCCTTACACGTATTAAAATAATCCATTTATCAAAAAAAAAAAAAAACTTTAAAGCATAACACCCTACCGATGGCTGTGATGTTTGTGCCATGAAAACCGTGTTGTCAGAGAATCCTCTGTGGCGAGCTTTTAGACTTCCGGTTCCGGTCTGTGAAACCTTAGACCACCTGTGGTAAAAGGCGGTATTCAGCTGGACAGATGGATGGAAAAAAATATATTAATCTATGAGAGCTGGTATAGCCCCTCAAAAAACATCACTAACTCATTTATTATCGTTTGCTCATGCAGCCTTAACTCATACATGTACGGACTAGCAATAATAAAAGCATGAATAGTAGGGGAAATCAAACACCATAAAGTTGCAACATTTAATTTGAAAATTCGAAAATGATATTTCTTATATTTTTACCTTTGCTGCCTTGTTGTTGGTAGCGGTAAACGGGTGTGTGGGTTTGGAGAACGAGTCATCATACAACTTTCCGTCGTAGTTATTTGGACCTGGGGGAAAAAGGAGAAAAGTAAGTAGAGCATACAGTTTTTTTCTGACAATAATTAGTGCCACTAGCAACATGTCAATGGGCATTGTAGTGTTCATTAAAAGTGGTAGTATAAACCTTAATTAACCAGCATGGCCCTTTAATACTTAAACGTGTACATGTAATACCTATTATCCTGGGGCTTTCAACATTTGTTTCTTTATCAGCACGGCGAACCTATCCAAAACCAATGAGAAAACAGTGAGCTATAAAGCAGTTTTCCAGCTATTAATTTCTTATCTGTGCCGAGTCCAATGAAATTCACCAGACTCTATGCCCATTACGAGAACAATCTGTAATTTTGGTACCTGGGACCTGAGACATCAGCTGATCGAGGAATTCATAATCGGAGTCGTCATACTCTGAATTGGCTTTCCATGGGCGATTCAGTGGGTTAAGTTGGAACCTGTGAAATTGTGATAAATGAATTTATCATTGATTTAGCAGTATGAGCAGTCTTTTAAATATCGCTGAAGATCAATTACCTCTTTGGATTTGCCCCAGCACGATGGAGTTGTCACCGAATAAAGTGATGCTTGACACTCAATTCAAACGAATACCCCAAGAACAAGAAACTGCAAATGAGAAACGGCGAACAGAATATCAGTGGTGTGTGTTATTACTAACTTGGCTAAAGTAGTACGTGAGAAACGGCGAACAGAATATCAGTGGTGTGTGTTATTACTAACTTGGCTAAAGTAGTACGTGAGAGTTGATCCAGAGTCCATTTCCTTGGGGTCCGTATACTCAAGTCATCAACAACGCGGAAGGTGCTTGTGGGGATGTCTTGATTCACCGGGTGACACAAAACTCTGTAGTCCCACGTAGCAAACACGGGTTTACCGTTCTCGAAGTCGACGATGGACGTCGGTTTGAAGGAATGTCTGTAAGATAATAATGCATTTATCACGGCCTATATGATAATCATACATGATCATTCATGTGTAGGGGTCATTTAATGTGTACTGGTATTTTTGCGGGTCTCTTTCATTGAAGATACTTATGCACTTATCTCAAATGATGTGTTTAGCAAATAACACTAGGGGCTGGAAATCAGCTGTTTGGGACTCTATGCCCTAGTGACAGGTTGACTAAAATGGGGCTGGGATATGGGGGGGGGGGAGAGGGAGAGTCACCATGACTCCTCTTGAACTCATGGTGTTTAATGCACATTTGACTTTAAAACCTAATACATTCAATAATCTGTTCAATATACAGACATAACTGGGAGGATTTAAGAAAAAAAAAACAATTTCATGAAATCGTTACTATTGACTAAATTGACACCCCCAATATTTTGTAATACTACACAAAGTAGAACGGTCATGTGCAGGGGAGACGAAGCTGTCATTGGATTTCATTGACTAAAACATGAATCTACAAAGATTAAATTCAAAGGAAACTGCAATATTTCAGCCGAACTCCTATGACATTAACGTTACTCACCTCTCCAATGGAATGGCTCCGCTGTAGGCTTGGTACCGCGCGCGTTCCTCATTGGACAAAAATGACCTGTAAAAAAAGAAACCCGTGCTTATATTATAGTTTTTGAACGTTTATTCACAGACTTATTTTACGTTCACATACAATAGCATCACGCATTCCTGTAATGTAAAACCTATCTACCTAGTGGAAAATGAATGTTGTTGAATTTCAAAAGATAAAAAAATCACAATAATAGCAATATATCAGCAATATATATTCAATATAAAAATGAATGATGATGCACTTGAAAGTTAGATATACAGCAGAGTGTAATATAAATTGTTACATTATAATTAGTTACTTCATGGAAGTGCGTACACATGCATAATATTTTGCCTGTCTCTCAAATCAGTATAAAATAACACAGATTAAACAGATTTAAGTTTACCTATCGAAAAATATTTGTAAAAAGAACAGGGCATATAGGTCGGTTCTAAAGCTTAAAATAGTTTGCAGCTGTCGGAGCATGTCTCTTTTCCTATGAAAACCCAACATGTAGTCATAATCTACTTACTGTGTGAAAGGCAGTTTGTCGTCTCCTTGACTTTTCAACCATTTGCCTTCAAGGTAGCAAAGAACAGGTTTGAAGTACTTCCTGTAATCCCGCACTTTGTAGTTCTGGTCCCTCCAAGCTTTGAACCATTCTTTCATCTCGGTGACCTGTTCTGGTATAGTCTTTTTGGCCAAGACCTATAGTTAAGACGTGAAAGGTGTCTGTTAAACGATAATAAACTCAGCACGTCGGGTTCTTGTTAGTGTTTTGCAATACCTATTTTGTTAAGGTAAACTGTTTAAAACATCGTTTAAATGATCAGAAGACTGTTACGTCTTTGTGTTTATCACAGAAAAAGACCTAAAGAATGGAAATACAAAATAAAAACAAACGGTGTTTGATAAAAGATACAGCAATGACTTCTGCAGCCATGCAAAAAAAAAATAATAATAAAAAAAAAAAAATAAAATAAAAAAAATAAAAAAAAAAATTACCTCCAAAAGTCAATTTCAAGAAAGAATGTCTAGTAAAACGTGTAAAATTGAAAATGAAGACTATCTGAACTTGAGGCCGGCATCTGAAATGTATTCTTGCATAATACGTGTTTATTTTATTAGTTATAAATGAAGAAGGGCACCGTTACAATATCCCGCGTGGAAGCAGTGACACTCGCAGCATCCTACGATAGATGGCGTGCACATTTGTCTAGTCAACATACCTGTGGGGGCACTGCCGGTAGTGGCAGTCTTCGGCGTGGACTTTTGAAAGTTTGACCAGGCCTGTACAATGCCATTCCTTGGGAATGTATGCGAAACTCAACTCCATTTATCACTGCACTTGTGCCGGTCGTGCCGATATTATAGTTCCTTGTATGACTGCCTGCATAAAAACCTCCTGCCACCCAACTCATGCTGTGACCTGAAAGAGCGGAAAATGATGGGGATAAAAAAAAAACACTGCTCCGACTACTGTGCAGCCTAGGAGAAAACAAACATGAGAAACCAAATATAAAAGCCTAGAACCGGCCTTGTGGACAGAGTGCCCACCCCTGGATTCCGAGGACATACAAGTCCTTCCAAAACGGCACCCGTTGTCTGCCCGCTTGGTACTCAGCACAAAAGGGTTTTAAGTTCCTGGTCTGGCAGCGAATGATATTGTTCGTTTTTTTAATCTCTGAGATTAAGCGGGGCTATATCCCAGAGAAGCGAGAGCGTCAACACCCTTTGTTTACCTCGCTGAAATGTATATAATGTAGTACAGTATATAAAACTTTTTTTAACCGAGAAACTTTTCTGCAATTGCTTCAGTGCTCATCCTTTCGCCTTGAACCCATAAAACTGAAATTTTAGGGAAAATTTTGCCAAGCTAGAACGACCAACCTGTCCGTCCACTGACCCCCTTACCCCCCCCCCCCCCACCTCCACCCCACCCCGAACCACGCGTAACCTACGGCAACAATCATTGCCATTGTCCCTTAATGGTTGCCGTGGAGATTTCTGTTTCCCCCCTTTTTCGTGTGGTATTAGAAGCTTATATGGATTTTATGTCTAATATACAGGTATCTTACTTGATGTATGATATGGTCTTGTTCCAATGGAAGTCCATCTCGTCTGTTTTATCCCTGATCCCCCGTCTGTTCGTGTGCGTTCCGCTATGAACATCTGCTGGAGCTGAAGCTGACGCAGTAAGATATCTACTTTCTGCGTCAGTGTTTTCAGCTTCTCCTCACACACGGTTGGGGTGGTTACTGCCCTCTTCTCTGCAAGAGCGAGACCGCCAAGGTTTACGACCAACAGAGCCAATAGCATCTCCTGCAAGGTAAACAATTATATATAGTCCCATTAAACATAAACATGCTATTTGCTTTGTATCTACTGATATCTTCTCCCTTACCTTGCTGAAATACTGTATACCCAATAAAAATAGAGCGAAATATATTATTTTTTAACCTTATACTTCTAATGTCTAAAATTTCATTTCGCTGACAACCAATGCTTTTTCAACATCATAACAAGAAAGATCTTTATTGGCACATATGCTCATTTTCAGGGAATTTTCTTTTGGTGGATAACGTTCAGCAGCCTGTTCATGAAATGATAGCATTTTAAACTTTGTGCAATTTATGCGCTTACGAAATTGACATTAATCAATGTCATTGTTATATAAAGTATGAATTTGAATTCGCTTTTTGGAACTATAAGCTTTAAACATAAAGCATCTGTCAAAGAACGAGAAACTTACCATCTTTAGATGCGGCACCCACTAAGCAGCGGTCCGATTTTATCTCCGCTTTTATCTCTGCTGTGACATCGTCTGCCTGTCGTAAACATAATTATGTGGAAAGGAGTTGAAAACGGTGAACCCGTGGGCGGTTTTAATCTGAGCATCATGCTTTGTGAACACCAGCACGTGCAAGGGACAGATAACACTTATTTAGAAGAACGTCTCATCTTGAAGACAACCTAATGTTGTCGTAATTGTTCATACTAGGCGGTCTACGATAGGAGGTATTTAGTTTCTCGGCGTTTTAGTATCAAAGTCATGGGTATCTTTATTGCCTTTGCTTTATAACCGTAGGAGCCGTAGATTTTGACCCACTTAGGTCAGACTTACCCTAACCATCATAAATATATGGAGGGCGGACTTTCTGTTACACGGATCCCCAATTTCGTTACACAGGCCTAATAATAGTATTATTAATAAAGGTTCGTTAAACCATTGTGATAATACATACAAAAGGGAAACTATGTTACCGACTCCGGTTAAAAAAATGAAATAATATGAAATAAGACTGACTTTTCATAAGTCATCAATTAAAATTCTATATTTTACCATTAAAATGAGATGTGGCAGTTGGATAAAATCTTTTTATAAAGTTTTGTTTCCTTGAAAGCGAAAACTACATTACACTGTATTTGCAGTCAATTTGCAGGCCAAATCGTGTCGTTCATTATCTTTTCGGTTTTCGAGGCCTTATAATAAACAGTGCAGCTTTGATTCTGGAATAATTGGGAAACAGAAATCCATCAAAATGCGTCATCAGAGGATCACACTTCGTGAGGACATTTAACTTACAAATCCATCATCCATGTTTTTACAATGCATAACACGCTATTGACCGATTCTCCTCTTTAATTATTTAAAATACACATGTCATCCTTCGTTTAAAAAAAAAGAAAATCAATGTTTAACTTCTTGCAGTAAGTTTTATTCTCATCCTAAAATTTCGCGCAATTACATTGCATGGTACTGATACTGAATGTGTACAATCTTGTTGATTCAGATTTAAATCTGGGAGGGTTCAACCATCATATTCGCATGTGTTTTCCTTCTCAGAACGAGGTCAGCCAGAGCCTCGTATTCCTTCCATGCAGTGCTGCCCTCTCCATGGATTGGGAAGATGGGATAGGTTTGCCGGAGAGCGCCTACACCGGGAATGTTTGGGATTATCATTCTAATCCCGCCTCTACTAACGCTTCGGATAACTCCCTTCGGATCGAGTACGCCCTTCGGTTTTGCTTCGCCGTTCTGAATGCCATGCGATAAAGATTTATAATAGGGGATGGCAGATTTTATCATTTAAACAAGATATTGACACAGGGGTGGCAAACGTGAGTGACTATCACTTGCTCACCTTTCAAAAGAAACTAGATTCCTTAGACAAATTAACTCGTCATAATTTACAGACCATGCATTTACAAAACACAAAATCGCGGATAAGATGAAATGTCAGGTGTCAAAAGCTGTTAATTTTCGTGTCAGTATTTCGAACAAGTATCACACCCACCAGTAATGTTTCACAAGAAACATCCCATCAAAAATGTGACTGCATGATAGCTAAATCTACTTGAGTTCCAATTGAAAAGTAACTGTAATAATGTATTGCAATTTACTGAGCTTGATAATTTGAACAACAAAATATTTCAAGTTTACCTTGGGATTTCCGAAAAATTCACCAGGCGTGCTGAAGTAATAGTATTCGCTGATCCCGTTGTAGGCAGTGGAGTTTGTGAACCCGCCTGTTCGCCCATTTGCGTAAACTGTCACATCATTGTATCCTAGTTTAATTATATATATATATATATATATATATATATATATAATTAGAGAGAGAGAGAGAGAGAGAGAGAGAGAGAGAGAGAGAAACCTTTTAACTATTTTGATATTAAAATTGGCTAATGCAAAACACTAGTGGGACATTTACAACATGTGCACCTACTCTTCATGTGTATAGTCAGTCCATATGGATTCCAGTTAGCCAGTGGGTTAAGGTAGGTCACGAAAAGCGGAATGGCGTACGACCAACGCTGTTCATAACTTTTACATACTTTTTTCCCTCCAACAAAGTTGCAATCTTCAACCTTCATCCCTGCTACCTATACAACGAGATACGCTAGGAATGAAATTCACAAGGACAAAGAGTTTTGCTTTTTTTCCTCATAATTCTTCTATCAAAATCTTTAAACGAGAATTACACTCACAATTCTGGAAATGGTTTGAAACGACATTAAGAGACACTTTATATACTAACAATCAAACCCTTCATGTCGAGGTCTACCATATGACAACAGTAACAAGGTTCTGTTGCCTGAAGAAGTCTATGGGAGCAAAACCGAATTCATACTACTTGTCTAGCGTGTGATATAATTATCCTTTCCTTATGTTTGAAAAATATTTTTAATGTCATGTGAACTGCGGTTCCTTAATATTTGTCACCTGATCAAAACGCTGGTGGCAGCTATTTCAAACAAACAGTGCAACGTTTAAGTTAAAGACAACTGCGTTATTCAACAATATTAATTCCCATGTACAACATCTCTTCCAATACGCCCCCCCCCCAAAAAAAAAGGTTAAATCATAACACCCTACCGACGGCTGTGATGTTTGTGCCATGAAAACCGTGTTGTCAGAGAATCCTCTGTGGCGAGCTTTTAGACTTCCGGTTCCGGTCTGTGAAACCTTTGCCCATCTGTGGTAAAATGCGGTGTTCAGCTAAATAAATGGATTGGGGAAACTTAAATTAAAAGAAATCAGCAATTATTTCCAAACTATTATTGCATTTAAATGCTGACATTTTTATCATGCACGTTCGTGCTAGCAGTAATAAAAGCAAAGAAATTCAAAGGCATTTCGTTGCAAGATTCAGTGTCAATGGGAAAGGCACACTCAGGTTGCAACATCTACTTTCAATTTCAAGTTTTGACTTCGATGTTTCCTACGTTTTTACCTTTGCTGCTTTATCGGTGGTAGCGGTGAATGGGTGTGTGGGTTTGGAGAACGCGTCGTCATACAACTTTCCATCGTAGTTATTTGGACCTGGGAAAAAGATGTCAAGTTAACTAAGTCGGACATAGAGTATATTCTGCCAATTACCAGTTTTACCAAAAACATAGCATTAGGCACTGTGGTGTTTAATATTTAGAAAATGAAAGCGTAAGCATATATATATATATATATAAAGAAGGAGTTAAAAAGCCGGTATCCATCTCATGGTCTATACCGCAAGGAATGAAGTTCGCTTGTTCCTTTCACAATTTTGAGGGCATCTTGTTATTATGGTGCGCAACTTACCTGGGACCTGAGACATCAGCTGATCGAGGAATTCATAATCGGAATCAGCGAACTCTGAATTTTCTTTCCACGGACGATTCAATGGATTAAGTTGGAAACTGTGAAATAATGATAAATATGTAAAATCATTAATCCAATGTTAAATGTGCAAAAAAAAGTATTCTTTGCCAATAGCGTCCGTAATCTCTCTCTCTCTCTCTCTCTCTCCCTCTCTTTCTCTCTCTCTCTCTGAAGACGATATGTAATTTCAGGCAGATTGGAAACTTGCTGGTCCATAATCAAACAGCAGCTTTGCCTATTTGAGGTACAGTGTATACCTACTTTTACGTTTAATAAGAAAATTTGCAATGTACGTTGCTTCATACTATTACTAACATTTCTTTATCATCCTTTGATCATTACCTTTTAAATTAATCATTTATCATTACCCTTTAAATTAATCAGCAATCAATTCAAAACAATAAAAAGATATCGTCTGGTTTTTCAAAGGAATATACACTAACATACTTAGCTAACATTTGCCGTGAGAGTTGATCCATTGTCCATCTCCTTGGGGTTCGTATACTCAAGTCATCAACAAGACGGAAAGTGCTGGTGGGGATGTCTTGATTCACCGGGTGACACAAAATTCTGTAGTCCCACGTGGCAAACACGGGTTTACCGTTCTCAAAGTCGACGATGGAGGTCGGTTTGAAGGCATGTCTGTAAGATATGTACATAAAGTCCTGGGTGTATGTGTGTATGAATGACAGTTGTTTATTTTTAAATTGCCCCCAGTGGATGTGTTTATCAAATATCATCAGCGGCTGCTGAGTCCACTGGATAACCAAGACGCCGGAACGCCATGTACTATTGATTGGGGGACTGAAAACGGGATGGGGGTGGGAGAGGGGATCATCATAACTCCTCCGAAACTGAGCGTGTTTAATTTGCATTTATCTTTGAATTAATTGACAACCTAATAGGTCCAATAATTTCATCAATGTAGAACTTTAGTACAAATGGATTGAACAGACACCCTTGTTGTAACGGAAAACATGTTTTATGAATTATTTCTGTTTACTGGCTTCAATTTTTGTTCAACAACATCACAACAATCTACATGATTTAACAATATTACACAAAGTAAAACGGGCATATAGATGATTTAACAATACAGGACTCCAAACATGTACTTAATCACATTTAAGTGCAATAGTATTGATCAATTCAAAATAAACTGGAAAATTTTAACAGAATTTCAGTAAACTTATGCTACTTACCTCTCCAGTGGAATGGCCCCACTGTAGGCTTGGTACCGTGCGCGTTCCTCGTTGGATAAAAAGGACCTATAAAAATAAGGATAATACGTTTATCAAACACAAAACAACAACAGATTGGAGTAACGCCAATAAATTGGTTAGGACGGAGCTCAAACAAATTAAATAAGATATAAGATTAAAGAAATAAGATTTCTTTAGTATAAGCTTTAAAAATTGAATGAACTTTGTGGGTATACCTTCATTTTCAACTCAACTTCTACATGGCTCTTTAAAAGTTAAATCTGCATTTTAAGTGAGAACATATTTCAGATCAAAGGCGCTAAACCCGATCAAATTGCTTAATAATGTTTCATACTATACTGTCCCGCCTCTCAAATCAATATAAAGCATCGTATCTTGATAGATTATACATTGAAAAAATATATGTAACGTTGCGGTGACTATTCAATGGGTGGCCAAAATCTGCTCACTGTGAAAAAGGCAGTTTGTCGTCTCCTTGACTTTTCAGCCATTTGCCTTCAAGGTAGCAAAGAACAGGCTTGAAGTACTTTCTGTAATCCCGCACTTTGTAGTTCTGGTCCCTCCAAGCTTTGAACCATTCTTTCATCTCGGCGACCTGCTCTGGCACAGTTTTCTTAGCTAAGACCTACATACATTGTATGTATAGTTAAGAATGACAGGTATCTGTTAAACGATCATACGAACCAAAAGCGCTGGACTGCTCCACGTATTTAGGACTCTATTTGGGTAAACTAAATTTACAAAATAATTGTTTCAAATGAAATTAAGATGATTGGAAGATATCCCCGCCCTCCAGCAGTAATGTACATTATACAAGTACTTAACAGATAACGAAATAAGAAGAAAAAAAACGGGCGTTTCATAAATACCGTAACAGGTAATGCAGGGTCTGTAGTATAGTAATGCATAAATTAATAATGAGCATGAAAAGCAATTTGACAGATTGCCTTCTTAAACACGCAAATAAAAAAAATGACGACTATGTTCCATGTTTAATCTAAAACTAAAAACGGTGCTACAAGGTTTTATTCTAATAGACAAAGACGAATATTCTTAATTAAATGTCTAGTGTAAAAGGTGTCACAAGCAACAACTCACTGCAAGGTGTATCCAGGACACATCTTAACAACTAACCTGTGGTGGCACTGCCGGCAGAGGCAGTCTTCGGCGTGGACTTTTGAACGTTTGGCCAGGCCTGTACATCATCAGTCCTTGGCCAGCCATGCGAAACTCAACTCCGTTTAACACGGCACTTGTGCCTGACGTGACGAAATAGTCCCTTGCTTGGGAATGTGGGAAAATACCTCCTGCTATCCAATTCATGTTGTGACCTGAAAAGGCAAGAATATAATTTAGATCGAAATCATAAGCGCCCTACAACGGTCTTTGTACAGCTTAGGAGCAATAATTAAATAAATAAATAATTATAATAATAATAAACAGGACGTTCTATCCATTTTAGCCTCAATATAGAAAAACCTGTTTTGTGTATCTGCTTTATCTACTATTAAGCTGCGTCTCCATTAAGCAACATGTCTGCTCCCTCCCCAGACCCCACCTGCAACCCAAAGCAACCATTATCTGTCGCCTAAGGTTGGCATGAAAGCTCCTTCGAATTCTTTCCCTCTTCCTTCTCTCGTTTGTGACTAGGATAGCATAAAAACGTATACCTGTATATACTATTTCTTACTTGACGTATGATATGGTCTTGTTCCAATGGCGCCCCATCTCGCCTGTTTTATTCCTGATCCTCCGTCCGTTCGTGTGCGTTCCGCTATGAACATCTGCTGGAGCTGAAGCTGACGCAGTAAGATATCTACTTTCTGCGTCAGTGTTTTCAGCTTCTCCTCACACACGGTTGGGGTGGTTACTGCCCTCCTCTCTGCGAGAGCGAAACCTTTGAGGCACACGACCAATAGAGCCAATAGCACCTTCTGAAAGTTGTTAAAAGCTTTTGTTAATGATATCTTAGTGCCGTTTAACAGAGACATTTTAAATCTGTTTTGTGCAAAATATATTGCTCACCGTATATGATACTGTCTGCGTTGCCGAAAAAAAATACTATGTGCAATCATTGCACACATAACACCACATGAAGCCTCCTTATTTTATGAAATAATAACATATGAAACGTTGTTCAATTTATAGAATTATGGTGCACAATAAACCGATTTTGTTTTGAGCGCGCTGTTTTAAGTATCAGTTTTTGAAAAAGTAAAACATATGTCGTCGTCGTCGTCGTCAGGTATCGTGCGCCTTTATGTCTGAAGGCACTACGTTCCATCGCCAATTCACCTAGCTCCCTCGTCCGCATCCCCATCCAGCTCTGGATGTTTGAGAACTATTGTGTTCTTTGCCCGCCACGCGCTCTGCTGCCTTCCATCTAGCCTTCCATGATGATTTTCTCTAGCCCGGTGCTTCTCCTAATATGTCCGTAATATGTCAGCTTATACCTCTTATGTCAGATAACGAAAAACCTACCATCTTAGGATACGGCAACCACCAGAGTAACAGTTCGAGGTATTAACGTGGCCAGTTTTATCTTTCCGATGTGGCACCGAAGTCTGTCAACGGCATTATCATGTGGTTAAGAGGTTGAAAACGGTGTGCCTGGGGGCGGACTTAATCTCAACATCATGCATGCGAGGACCAACATATGCTTGGGACAGATAACAGTGTACTCAAGGAACGTCTTCTTTGGGAGACAGCCCAATGTTGCTGTAATTGTTAATACTAGGCCGGTAGACGTAAAGAGATATTTTGTTTCTCAGCGTTTATGTCCTCTAAGATGCTACAAATCAAAACTACTAGAAATCGACGGCAGGTAAAACCATTGCTGAGAAACATGTCCAACTGAAACGTGATTTACTGTGAATTTTACTCGTGATGCTATAAATGAGAAATTTAAACAAAAACGAGTTTGTAGACTGTAATTTGCCAAACACAATAAATACACAAATAAATACAACTGCTCAAAATATGTCAAATATATACAGGGTCAGTGAGACATTCCTGGAACACTGGATGGAAGGAATACGAGGCTCTAGCTGACCTGGTAAACCATCTCCCTTGCACGACTCTCGCAAAACATGATGTTGAGATTAAATTCGTCCAGGGGTTCACGGTTTTCAACCCCTAACCACGATATAGTGAGAACGACAGAGTCGGAGTGCCACTGAGTGGGTGCCGTAGGTCTTTCCAAAGATGGTAGGTATCTCACTATATTCCATACTATATTTAAATTTTCAATAGCTAATACTTAAATATAGCGCGTTCAAGATTCATGTTTTTCATTGACATTGAAAGAAAATCGGTAAAATGCTGATATGAACATGAAACCAAATAACGTCTGCATCGGGCCTATACATTTAACAGCTTTTGATATGTTTTCATTAATAAAGTTCGTTGTTATTATGATGCTGATAAAGTACATGTACTGTTTATCGATAAATTGAAAACTTAGATATAAGAAGTATACGGCAGCAGGAGCAACTTGATACTGGTACACGTATTATTATTATTATTATTATTATTATTATTATTATTATTATTATTATTATTATTATATGTCTTATGTGCAACGGCTATTTTAATATTCACATAATATTTTGGGAAGGCTAATAGTATCAGATACGATAGATTCAGATACGATAGATTTTTTTACAAATAATTTACAAATAATTCTTTTAAGAATAAAAATATTTTTTACAAAACAGTCAACAATATTCATATGTGTCTGTTGATTTAACGGTATTAAAATATAATTGTCGAAAGACATAGCCCTTTAAAAAGTGTCTGTCTACTTTACAGAAGGTGCTTTTAGCCTTATTGGCCGTATACCTCGGCGGTCTCGCTCTCGCAGAGAAGAGGGCAGTTACCACCCCAACCGTGTGTGAGAAAAAGCTGCAAAAACTGACGCAGAAAGTAGATATCTTACTGCGTCAGCTCCAGCTCCAGCAGATGTTCATAGCGGAACGCACACGAACTGACGGCGGATCAGGAATAAAACAGGCGAGATGGAGTACCATTGGAACAAGGCCATACCATACATCAAGTAAGAAATACATGTAGTACCCCAGTAAGAATTGTATTTGTTATATGATTTCACAAAAGAGAGAGAGAGAAAATGGGGGAAATTGGCCGGGGATTTGTGCCGGAAAGGCAGCTGCTATTCTTCGCGTCAACCTTTGAGGCGCCATGGCAGTGCTCGTTGCTGTAGATTGCACAAGACAAGTTGCCCAAAGGACACAAAGGACGCACATGGGGATTTCTCTAAGAAATTTCTCAAAACCTGCACAATGTTCGCAGGAGCAGGGAGATTATTTTTCGATCGATATTAATTTGGTTCTTTCAGGCCACACCGTGAGTTGGGTGGCAGGCGGCCTGTATCCATTTACCCAGGCAAGGGATTCTTTTGGCACGACTGGCACCAGTGCCGTGATCAACGGAGTTGAGTTTCGCATGGCTTCTCAAAAAACAATATTGTACAGGCCTGGTCAAACGTTCAAAAGTCCACTCCGAAGACTGCCTCTGCCGGCAGTGCCACCACAGGTAATTTAATTGTTTTGACACACGCACACGGCATCTGTCCATGATGCTGTGTGTAACACCTTCGCTCTAATTCTCATTTTACTATTTGAATGAACCCTTATCATGCCAACGTGGGCCATTGGGTTAATTTTCGATTTTAGGGTTTTTTCAAGAGCTATAATTACTAGCTAGTATATCTTGCCTTCATGGTTATTTCGCATATGGCTATTCATCAAACCCCTTCAGGGTAGCCGTAGCCGGGGGGGGGGGGGGGGGGTTTGCGGGGG